GGAAACCCCTGCTATATTATGGGTTCACTTTTTGGTTGCTGGACCACGAGGGGACGCTCAGGGAAGGAGCCAGGGCAAGGGAGTGGGGAAGCTATTTACCCATCGTAGCAGAAGTATTTCAGGATTTAATTCTTATTAAGTAATTATGGTAGTTTATATATAATTAATCATTTAATAAGTTACTGAAATGATTGATCAAAATAACAACTATGGCTGTACCCATGTTACCAGCTCTTCAAGAGTGGTGGTCCCTGGCTGGTTGGCTGTTCCCTCCACTCCCCCAGGAAGCAGGCTCCTGAGTGTACCTTTCTGGCAGTGAAGCCCCTCGAAGCCCAAGGGGCAGTCGCACTCGTAGCCCTCCTTCCTGGGCCGGCAGCTGCCGCCGTGGGCACAAGGGGCCCCCACGCAGGGGTGGGCTGCGTTCTCCACGTTCACGCCGGATGTGAAGTCATGCTTCACGTGGATGGTCCGGTCGTTCAGGATGATCTTGGGAGAGAAAAATGTGAAGAAAGTCAGGAATTGAAGAAACACCTTTGTAGTCTTCTAGAACTTTCCTCAGCACTAACCTGAGCGGCACATAGGGAGATTAAAACTTTTTTTTTAAGTCCAGTTCCTACTTTTATGGTCTTGTAAGTGATGCAGGAGCTGAAATGATTACATTTGGTGCATCTGGGAGGATCTTCAGAATAAAGCACTCCTCTGGTCCTGGAAGACCGGCCACTCGGGAGGGTTCTAAAGAAGTCCCAAGAAGTACAAAGTTTGGGTTTTCAACCTGGCTGCACATTAGAATCATCTGGGGGCTTTTTAAGGACTAACACACGGGCCCACCTAGACCAATGGAACCAGAATCTCTGAAGGTGGGACCCAGTGTCAGTAACTTTTAAAAGCTTCCAGGAATCACCTGGGAAGATGCAGCCACGGTTGAGAGATGCTGCTATAAAGCGGAGTAGGGAGAGTATAAAAGCCAGGTGTTGTGGGGGCAGGAACCAAAGCGACAGCAATGGCTTTTGGTGGCTGTGGACTCCAGAGGGGCTTCCTAGTGTACTTCCGTGTGCACTGGACAGTGTTCTCGTGTAGTCTCCTAAATTCCATCAATGGGGCCTCTCCAACTGTCCTGTTCACTCCTGCTATCGCCTCCTTCCCCAACATTCCTGAATTACCTTCCTCTCCACATCCCTTTCCCCACCACTAAAAAAGTAAGTGAAAACTCAGGTCACATTCTAACACCTCTGTGCATGTATTTCCCTGGGCTGAGGTGCCCCTTTGCTCCCTCCCCTGAAACATGGCTCTGGAAAACCTGAAGAATTCTGAGGAGGGGTTACTGGGTCCCCTAACCCCAAATAAGAAGACCCAACTTTTTCAGCCCTTGATGCAGAATGTGTATTTATTTTGAGCTGTTGCTGGCTTTGCAGAACTTGGAGACAGAACACCTCCCAGAGGGGCCTCCACTGCCAAGGAGGTTACAAGAGGATAGTGATGGCACTGCCTGCCACCAATCCAGTTTCCAGAGGCTTGTCTGGCCTTTGGAGAGCACTGGGAGAGTTGGGAGAACACTGTTCCCCATCCTGCATCAGAGAAGCTGGAGTATCTAGGAGCCTCCTACAGTCTCCTCTCTTTGTGCTGCAAGTGAAGGACCATGAGTCTGAGTGATGTGTAATGACACATGCCAAGAATGGCGCCATTCACTGCAGGACATGGCACAGCTCATGACTCAGTCACGGCAGAAGAGGGTGGCCTTTCTAGGGGGACAGGAGGAAAGGGCTGTGTGTGGGTGTGAAGGGAGGGCACAGCCTGAGAAGGGTGGGCAGACAGGGGAGCGTCTTGGCATCTCAGCTCACTTCCTAAGTGAGAATTTCAAACATAATTAAGCACAGCCAATCCCACTCATGAGGGTATGAAACGGCGTGTCCCTGACGTCTCAGTTCAGCAACAAGGGCAAACACACGAGAGTCAGCAAACATGCCGCCATCGGTCGCTAAAGGAAAACAGGATGAGGCTAACATCCAGGAACGACACCTGCTTGCCTTCAGATCCTGCTTCTCCCAGGGTCTGGTGTCCTGCCAGTCTGGCTGAGGAGCTGAGCTGCAGGCAGAGCAGGTCCTCATGGCTGGAGGGATCCCGGCAGCCCCAGGGAAGGCAAATGGGGGGTTAGGAGGGTTGGTCCCTTTTACTGAGTGTTTTTTTCTGAACCTTCAAGGGAAAGACTAATCTGTGCTCTTCAGAGCTTGGTTACATGATTAATGAATAACAACTGCTAAAGTGTGTGGGTGGGGATGGGAGTTTGCCCTTATCTTTAACAGACTGCAAAGTAACGCCAAGGCGGCATACAGAGCCAAGAGTTCTATTCACTTCCACGCGCCTCCTTCCCCACTGCGGAGGCGTCTGCGGCGACCTCGTGCCATTTGCTTCCTGCAGCAGCCCCAGTACATTTTAGTGGATTTGCTATAAAAATTCATCTTCATTGAGTGGCATTCATGGAATGTCTGCTGGGCATAGACCAGGAGCAGAGTTATAAGAAAATGGGGTTGGAAAGCTATGCTGTGGGCATTCAAAAATAAAACCTTAAACATTTTAAAATTTTCTCTAAGAGTTTTTCCTGGGTGCAGCAAATCACACTGATCATAATCGTCAAATTCCATTGCCGGCAGTCAGGGTGGCACAGTCAACGGGAGAAAGGGAAGCCTCTACCTTCTGGATGCTCCCGCTAAATGGCTTGTGAATGCCCGAGTTCTTCTTCACGTCATCATAATCGGGGACTCCGCCAATAAAAATGTCCGTGTTGCACTTAATCTGTGTGAAGCCTCCCTGCCAATAGATTAAAAACAAAGCATGGTATAACTTTACAATAGATGGGTAAAACTATCAAATGTGCCTTTGGTTCCGTGTTGACGACCAAAGAGTTGAGACAGCCTCAAGACCCGTCACAACAATCTGTCTACACGTGGGCTTGACCTTCACAATGTTCCGCATTGCTGCTTACCACCTGCTTGAATGTTGGTAAATTTCTTAATGTGTCTGAGACTCAGTTTCATCATCTGTAAAATGGGAGTCATCATATCTACCTCATAGCTATGTCAGGATGACCGTGGCAGACTGCACTACTGCTCTTTGCAGGAACATAACCTCCAACCTGGTAGCTCAGATGAGGTCCTGTAACTTGTATTAGCCAACAAAACATGAGCAGAAAAGAATCGCTTCTGAGCAGAAGCTTTCAGAGCCAGGGAGCGGGTCACCAGGCCCTTTTCTCCCCTCCCTCTGTTCCTTCAGCCTGGGTCTCAGATTAAAGCTGCAGCTAGTCATTGGTACATACACATCGTGAGTGAGAAATAAACCGTTAAATCTGAGATCTCTGGCGATGAACACACTTTAGGTAACGTAAGTTAGTGTTTCTTTTGACTTATGGCAAATACAAATAGTAGCAGCATTCAATTACTTATTTAACAAATATTATTAGGCACCTACTATGTCTGAGGCATTGTGTTAAGTGCTGGACAAACAACAACAAATAAGAAAGAGCCAGTCCCTCTCCAGGGGTTTGCACTAGTGGCGAATTCAGACAAGTGAGAGGCCAGGCGGGTTAGCACTGATGAGACTGTACAGGGGCTATGGGTGCATCTGGGGGTCTCATACCCTCCCCTAGACATAGGGAGGTAGCCAAGGTGGCCAAGGAAGAGTCAGAACTGTAGAAACTGGAAGAAGGTGGGGCTTAGAGGGAATGAAGTACTAATATAAGGCAGAGGTGAGCAGGAGCCAAACCATGCAGGGCTTTCTATGTCATGTTAGGGGTTTGAACTTCACCTAAAAAGCAATGAGATTTAAGCAGGAGAGACAGAGATCCGTGTTTTAGGAAGCTTGTTGTCCACAGGGAGGACAATGGGTGTGGGTTGGGAAGAGGAGGGACAGGAGACCACAGAGGGGATGCTCTGTTTATCTGAGGGGGTGCTCACAGTGGCTGCGCCCAGCCCTGGGAAGTCTCCATCAGATTAATAAAGTGAATTGCCTTGTCAGTCACCTCCAGGCAGCTTTGAGGGTTCTTATTTAACTGGCAGGTCACCAAAGAAGCATAAGGGCTTTCCAGAACTGTGGCCCAGCAGGACACTGCACCAGGCAGGAACCGTCACCACAAACCCGCAGCCATCTCTCCCTCGTCTTTGCTCTTAGCAAAAGTCAAAATAAGAGGAAAGGGGGAAGGGTGTGGGATCAAGGAGGTTTCAGAACAGCAGCTGTTTTGAAAAAACTTTGAGTCATGGTTGTGTCAGCACACGGGGCAGGGCTTCGTGAGGCCTGGCGGGTTCCTCTGGGCTGTCCCTCAGAATCCTCCCTCCTGCCAACAGAGGCAGGGCTGCAGCTGCCACCCCCACGCGGGACCGCAGGGGAGAAGCGGACAGACCCCACCAAAGCGAGGTGCTCTGAAGTGAGGGGCTGCGTGTCTGGATCTGCCACTTCCGCTTGGCTGGAGGCAGCCGGAGAAGCTGAGCAAACCTCCAGGCTGGTGTTTCCTGAAGGCCTCAGAAGCACGGCTCTTCCTGGAGTCTTGCAGGGCTGGACTCAACCCTGCGCACTTGGTATCTCTCAGTGCTGTCGGCTGAGCAGCCGGGGGTCAGCTTCGGTCTGGACACAGGCTCTCAGGTGCTTGGTGCTGGGTGAGCCCTGCGAAGCGCACCTTCGCCCCCACCTGTCTCTAAGCTCTAAGACTGCTGCCCCATCGGCCACGCTTTGTACGTCATGTGGACAGCTGGGAGCAGAGCGTGGGGAGACACTTAAGTTTCGACTCCCTGAGATCAAGCAGGGCCCTCCCACTCTTGGCTCAGAGAGGCCGCAGCAGAACGTCCCTCCAATGCACACACCAAAAAGGGAGGGCGCAGGCCCTACCATATGGATTTTATTCTCATTTGTTGACATACAGTAATAGAAGCTCTGAGGTGTGGCTTCTACCTTTGTGTCGTCTCTTAGATCCTAATGGTAACTAACGTGTCCTGAAGAATATTATTATTCATAACCAAAGACCTTAGCCTTATTATTTACAAACACTCCCATCCTAAGCTTTTGCTCCTGTTTCACAGATGTTTGTAACTAAAGCATAAAGAGATATTATTGAGTTTATTTTAAGCCAACACACAGCCAGGTGTGTATTTGTGAGCTTCTAATTCTGTCTTGGACTAAAGTCAGCTGTTAGAATGTTCTGGATTGGACCAGAAGTGACTCCTGTTCTCCCTTTAAAATCCATTTCCCTTCATTCTTCTCCTTCCTTCCTTCCACAAATATATGTGGAGCTTTTATCTTCTCTCATCAATCAAATGCCTTTCCCCACCAAAGGTCTCTTTTCCTTCCTTTTCTTTTTTCTGTTAATCCATTTGCTTATTAGTATACCCAAATTCGTCAATGTCCTCTTTAAATCTTGCTTTGCACAGAGAGAAGACTGGTGGGAACCAACATATTGGCAAATTTAAAGTCCCCTCTGTTTTTAGGAACTCTAAATTGTGTGTGTACGGAGTCCTAGCAGGCTATGATTTAAGGCAAATCTCCCTTATCTCCTCTTAAAAATGTTGTATTTCTTCGGACATGACCTTGGAAATAAAATTATGGAGGAAAGTTATAAACTTGAGTAGAAATTGTATCCTCTTGAGTCCACGATAGTACACTATTAACTAATGATAATAATAATAGGTAAAGCTATTTGGTGCTGACCCGTGCAGCAGGTACTGTTTTGTTTTATGTATGTAATTCATTTAATTACATACATAACTCACAACTCTGTGAAGTAGGCACTGTTGTCACCACCATTATTCCCACTGATATGAAGATAATGGTGAGATGAAAAAACTCTAAGCTGAGAGGTCAAGTAACCAGTATGAACTCACACCACGAGTAAGTAATGGAGCTAGATTTTGAACTTTGGGGAGTCCAGTTTTACAGTCTATTCTGGTCAGACCTCTTCCCCCTGCACCACTGGCCCTGACTCTGTGTTTTTATCTACTACATTGCACTGCTGGTAACAGCAAAGGTGGAGGTGGAAGGTGAAGGGGCGAAAGGAAATTTTTTAAGTGTGAACTATTATTAACTGACTGACTCCTCACACCACTCTATGAGGCCAGTTCTAGTATTATCCCATTTACAGCTGAGGAATAGAAAAGTTAAGTAATTTGCCCAGTGGGGAGCTGGGATTTCAACCCAGGCACTGACGCCCACGTGCTTAAACACTACACTGTGCCACATTTCTACCGAGGCAGGTAGAAAGCAGTAATTTGGTTCACACTCACCGTCAAGAGAAAAGGTGTGTTCTTACCTCTGCCATTCCCTCCACGACCTTCTGCTTATCCACCTGTAAGATTCCATTCTTCGCTGTGCGGGATACATGCAGCTCGTGCCAGCTGCCCAGGGTGAGGGGCTCTTCACTCCTATCGAAGGCAGATGTGATATTAATTTTATGTGTCAACCTGACTGGGATACAGGATGTCCGGACAGCTGGTAAAACATTATTTCTGGGTGTGTCTGTGAGGGCGTTTCTGGAAGAGATTAGCGTTTGAATCTATGAACTGAGTACAGAAGAGGGTCTTCACCAAGGTGGGTGGGCATCAGCCTACCTGCTGAGGGTCTGAGTTGAACAAAAAGGAGAGGAAGGGCAGATTTTCTCTCTCTTCTGGAGCTGGGACATCCGTTTTCTCCTGCCCTTGGACATTGGCACTCCTGGTTCTTGGGTCTTCAGAGTGGGACCCACGACTCACATCATCAGCTTCCTGGCACTTAGGCCCTTGGGCTAGGATAGGACTTACACCATTGGCCCCCCTGGCTCTCAGGATTTGGGCTAGGACAGGAGCTACGCCACTAGCTTTCTTGGGACTTGTCAGCCTCCATAATCATGTGAGCTAATCCTTCATGATAAATGCCTTTCTACACATCTATATATAGCCTATTGGTTCTGTTTCTCTAGAGAACTCTGACTAATACAGAAGGAAACATGGGTTAGCATGTTATGAATAATTTTCATCAACCTGGCTATGAGAAAACTATGAATAATACTAACCTTAGGCACCTCAATCCATTCAGTAAAAAGAAAACAATAATTCCTGCTCAGTACAATGGCAGTGCTAGCTATCATTTATTGGACTCCTTCATAGTAGGAGCATCACATTTATTGTTTTATTTATTCTTTACAACAAACCTGAGATGTGGGTACAGTGAGTCTGGTTTTCTAGATGATGGGTAAAATATGAGGGGTAAAAGTAAAATATATTTGTGCACAAACTTTGAAGAAGAGAAAAGATTTTATAAGTGATGGTGTAAAAAACAAATTCCTTGGTGTACTGACATCTGCAACATCCTTTGGAATGCATAAAAAAATAAGAAGGATGGATGGATGGATATGATAATAGCTACTTATGTGGTGAAGCAAACAGAGCCAAACATTAATCATAGACTCTGAGTGGTGGGTACAAGGATGCTTAGTATATAATTCTTTCAACTTTTCTATACATTTGGAATTTTTTGTAATAAAATGTTGTAGGTGGAAATAGATTTCATATTTTCAGACATTGTAAAAAAGATGAAAATTACTTTAAAAATTCAATTATTAATTCGAGCTGGAAGTGCTTAAAGTTTAGATGATATTTATAGGAATTTTACACATTATGTTTTATAGAGGGGTGTGCAGAAAGAGTATCATTAGTGCATTTGTATTTCTAACAATGTCTAGTTCCTGGCCCTCACTGAACTTCCCAATTATTTTTCGGTCTTGGATCGTCTTTAGAAAACCATGAGGAATACCAATGGGCGTAATTATGAAAGGTCACCACCCCTCCACTTGATATTTTTTAGCTCTGGCAAATGCTTTTGTGATTTGTTCTTAGCAATTAGAATTTAATCACCTTGGCTAAATCAATATGCAATAAAGAAACAAGAGGCCCCTTTTTAAGTGGTCTATCTCCATAATAACTAACAGAGCCATTTCGTGTTCTTGTCCCGCAGAGGTCATTTGCTGTCAATGTGCTGCCTTCCTCAGAGCAGGTGTATTGATCACAGCCATCAAGAGCTCATTCCAATTGTCTTGATTCTTGAATCAAGTTCACAATAAATTTGATTGCCTTATCCTTTTCCTAAAGTTAAAATGATCGACCAATTCTACAACTTCCTGTAGTACAGGCTTTCACTGAATTTTCCTAATTAAGCAGGAAGTCTTTGAAATGGTTTCCAAAATAAATAGCTTCCAAAGGGGCATCTGAAACACTGATAATGACCACTGTTGGCAGGTTAGGCTGGGGACGGGAAGGGACAAGGGGAAGATGTAGTGCGTCCCTTAGAAGCTCTTGCCACATTTTCATCACCTAATACTCAAGAACTCTTTTTCCCATTGCCTTTCTTATAGTCAGGAAAATAATAACTTGCGTTTTAAAAAAATTAAAAACATCTTTTGTCAAAAATAGGCACAGAGTTATGACAGAGAGAAATGCTGGACTTCTAAGGGTCCCATGTGCCTGTGACCCCACAGTTGGAGCTGCCACTGCAGAGGGGCAGGGTGGAGGGGACAATCTGTCCAGGAGGAGGGCTGTGGAGCCCAACCCTTTCCTAGCTCTTTCTGGTCATTCTTTATCCGAGAAGAAGCCATTTAAAAGTGCAAGGTGATATTCAAGGTGTCTTCCCTTTTTAACTTGACATATAGTTCTAAGTGAACTGTTTAGGCTGTTTTGCATAATCATATCCAAATTTAATCAATTAAATGCCCACCAAAGTTGTCTTGAAATATAGGATGTTTTTGTATCACCAGAGGTACAAAAATGTTTGTCCATTCCCCAAGGGGGGAGGTGTCAGTGATGTGTAGGAACTTAGCCACAAGGACAAAACAAAATCAAACTGTCCTTTTTAAGAAGTGTTGAAACCTAATGCAGTGAGCATTTCCCATCAGCCATGAAGAATGATCAGCAGAAGGGCAACGCATGGTTGTAATATCTCACCCACATACTCTTTGAAAACTGACAATCTAGCTATATGAATGGTGATCGAATACAGCCTGCAATTTCCTTTAAAACAACAGACTCACTGATATCCTGTTGCAGGGCACCATGGAACAAAACATCCTAGTGAGTTTCAGAAGAGAAGAATTAGACAAATGTAGGAACAAGAAGGATGTCTGCATTTGATTAGTGGCCCTCCAGCTTGAAGGTTAAAACTACCATGGAAAGACCACAATAAGAAGATGGAGACATCAACAAATAAGAAAAACATCTGCACCTTCCAACCATGAGCTCCAAGGGATTCAAAAAGACAATGCCTCACTATATGGGAATAATTGATCTGCTCAGTAATTTAATGGTACAAATTAGATAACAGTAGGAAAGTTTTGACTACTCAGACCAATTCTGCAAATAGCAGCAGGTACTGTAGATGCGCCGTTTACTGCCACGCTATGGAGACCACCCATTACACATCTTTCTTGAGCATACTGGTTAGGGACCGGGTCTTTGCATTGCTGACAATTCACTGTCAGTTTCCGTTAAAGAAAGAGTTCAAGAGGAAGGTTAAAATTTCAAGTGAGGTTACCAAGGACATTTTGTTCATTAAATATTTGTAAGTTCTTTTACTAGTTGATATACAGTTGGTGGGCGCCTGCCATGTGATTCTCTGTGTTGTAGAGCACTGATTCGTTACAGTCCATCAAGTTTCTGCAGATGGCATTGCACGACCTCAGGTGGAAATGAAGGTAGTTCACCCCCACCTGAAGCAAGCCCCTTTTCTACAGTTTGAAGCACAGAGTAGTTATTTGAGAAAAGGAAATCTTGCAGGCAGAACAGCACTACCTATAGGAAGCCCGTCATCTGTACACACGGGAAAAGTTTCAGAAAATAGCTGCACAGGGAAGACAGGAGAGAGTAAGCTGTTGGATGTCAATTGGGTTGTTTCCGAAAGTGGGTACTGTTTAGCTTTTTGGGCAGAGGGGCTTCCAGAAGGTTTCAGCCCTCACCTGAGAACACCTGTCCCTGAGCCACAGTCAAAGCGGAACTCCACATGGCCCCCTGCCATGTTGATGGACAGGAAGTCTTTGCTGCCCGTGTCATAGCTGTACAGCAGGACACCGTCTCCCGAGTCTGGCCGAAACGTGATCTCGAACTCCATGAAGGACAGGTAGTGCTGGGGCTCTAGTGGCCAGGGCGTCGCGGCGTATGATCTCAGAGACGCTCTGAACTGAGGAATGGTCAAGGTGAAAGCTGAAGAAATAAGCACAGCATTAGAAATCCCTCTGTGCAGACACTGGCTAGATGTGCACCCACAGTTGTGCTCTTTTCTCCCTGGGCACAGACCTCAACAACATTTCCCAGCTGCCCTGCAGGTAGGCCAGTAGAATGTTGGTGAAAGTATTATATTATGCAGCACTCTAAGTCTAGCCCCTAAAAGTTCCCTCTATCCTCTCTCTCTCTTCTCTCACCGGCTGGCTGGCTGGATGCAGGAATTGTTGGAGTACTCTAAGGGCTTAGAAGAGCTAGAGCAGAACATCCCCCCGACCCCCAACAACCACCACCACTGCCCTGCAGTGATTTGTGATATGAGCAAGAACTCGCCTTTCTTACGTCAGGCTATGGAACTGTGAGATGGTATGCAACAGCCTGGACTCACCCTGACTCAAATGCCCTCTTGTAGGTGATGTGAGATTTAAGATTACAATATCATAAAAATTTTTCCCCAGTATGGTATCTTAGGTCCAAATTTGAACTACTCTTGGAGAAATTTGACTATCTGGGTCTTTGTGATCTTAGCCCCAGTTTTGTTTCCTTTTGTTTTTAATTTTGGAATTCAAGAAAAACTAAAGCATGCTCAAGCCTGTATGGTTTTCCAAAATCTTTAAAATTTTCAGTTATTATTTACATGTGTTTGTGTGAACATATGTATATTTGTGTGTTCATATGTGTTTACATATATTAATATATACAAATATGTGTGTGCATATATATATTTTTACATACTCAATATATATACAGTATTGCGTGGTGAAATAATTCAGTAGAGCAGTACGAAGAAGAAAAGACGAGGTCCCTTTTGTCCCATCTCATTGCTAATGTTTCTGGGTGTGTCCTCCCAATCTTTTCTCTGAAACTGTCAGGTATTCTAAAAGGAATGTGCATAAGCTTTAAATTCAGTCTGATACGAACCACACAAATACAGACTTTTTGAGTTATTTGAAGGCCGAGAGGAGCCTACTCATGCCTAGCATCTTAAAATGAACATACGTATCTTGGGTTCGTTCAAAACTCTGGCACTCAGATACACTCCAACCTGGTAAAGAAAAGCTTCCCCCATCCCTCCCAACAAAACAGCGTGGATCCCATGAGAATGTCTGGGGCTTTGTAAGAGGTACATCTCATGAGAAATTACATCCACAGGAATTAACGCGCAGACAGAAGCTGCCATCAACTTGCTTCTTTCTCACCCTCTTCACAGTGTCGACCTTTAAACCCGAGGGGACAGAGGCAAATGTAGGAGTCGGCTTTGATCGCTGTGCAGGTGCCGCCGTGGATGCACGAGGCCTCGTCGCAGATCCCACTGCTGCATTCCCCTGGAACAGAGCAGCAGTTACAGAGCTGACCCTTCACGAATGCCAGTCCGACACGACGAAGCTGACCACGCCAGCAGCTCGTGGGCCTGAATAAACACAGTTTGGTTCCCACTCCTGTTGGTTTGCTTCTCTGTGCAACTCTAAGCCGGCTTTCAGGATAAGTGAACCAGCTTTCATTTTCATTGGATTTTGGCGTGTTCTTTATGAAGAGCCACAAAGACTTTTAAAAACATGATGGACACAATAAATCAAATAATAGATTGCTGGGGAATTTTATGACCACCGGTGGGGATGACTGAGTTGCTTCTGATTTAATTCACCTCTCTCTGTCATTCTCACAAGAGTGTATTTCAATCCCCCCAATGTCAACAGAGTGTTTATGTTAAAAGCATTCTAATTCCTGTGACCCCAATTAGTTTAAGTGCTGCTACGTTGTTGGTTCAAAGGTGAGACAAGCAAGGTAAGCACTGAAGGAGTTAAGCAGCCATGTCTAAGCTTATTGATTCGCCTGAACTGTTGACTCCTCTGTCCAAGACAGGGAGGCGAGGAGAGAGGGCTCCCCAATACCCAGCATGTGGGTTCTAGAATTCTTATTTCTACCTCCAAAGTTACAATCCTATAAGGGACAGGAGGGTGCCCTGCAGGAAAAAGTGCTGAAAGGTTCAGCATCAGATGGGTGAGTTCTCTTCCCCAGAGAGCTACATAAAGGGCATTACTTTGTCATTTGCAAGTACAGATCATCAGATGGATAGAAAACAAATGAACTTTTCCTGGGCTGCTTTTCTTCTGCTTCTTTGGTCTTGTTTTTGTCTTTGTGTATAAGAAATACACTGCAATCTGGCCCCGAACTACGTAGGTGAGTATAAAATACTTCTTCTGGGGATGGAAGCAAAGGGGCACGTCTCTGTTTGGGCCATGAAGCGAAGGGCCCGGCTGTGCCCGAGCCAGTCTCCAGGGCTGCACTCGCACGAGCTGGAAGCCCACGCCCGTGAGAGGAAGAGCCCTCCTCAGCCAGAGTGTGCCATCTCAGCAGGGTGAGTCTCTTATTCTTCCCTCGTCAGTCATCTGTGTTCTTTGAATTGGTCCAGACTTTTCTTTTCATTAAAACTAACCAGGAGGAGGGGGAAGGACCAGGCATCCAGTGTGGACCCAGGAGAGGAGACTGACTTCAGGGGCTGCTCACAGAATTTGATTAAAGCCCTGGCAGGTGGCCTGGCAGACATGACTGGTGGTCTCTCCTCAACCACAGCCCTGAGAACATCGCCCCCAGCATTCCCAGGCTCCACAGAGACGCTGACTTTGATCTCAGAGGCCAAACACTCACAGGTCCCTGAGCCCCGCCAATTTCTGTGGGCTGTGATTCTTTCTCAGAGCAGGGCTGGTTCACAGGAAGTGGGGTCCTTGGGTTATTTTAGATACACATGGAAGAAATTACTTTACAAATCTTCTGCGTTGTAACTATTTTTTAAGAGGTGGGAGTAGGGTGGGTGGAGGTCACGGAAGCCAGCCAGAGCTGACCAGATGAAAGCAGGGTTTCAGCAATGTTACTTGGCAATGTCATGCCAGACAGATTGAGGAGCGTTGGGGGCAAGAGAGAGAAGAGAACTCTTTCGGGATGGTAAAGAGGGACCAACAGGGTGAAAGCAAAGGAAACAGAGAGAATGTGAAGAATCAGAGACCCAGGGAAAGAAGAAACGAGAGATCAGTCTGGAGGCTGAAGGTGGAAGAAGATTCCAGCGTGCTCTCGAGGTTTGTAGCTTGGAAGATGGAAGAACGGAAGAACGGTGGTAAGAAGGCAGAAATGAGGGTGGCTGTGGACAGGAACCAGCTTCTCAGAGGCAGAGGAGGAGCTCACTTTAAGTGTGACATGACTGTGAAAATAGCCACTGCTGGTGTCAGCCCTTGAAAGAAAGGACAGAGGTTCCCAGGCTTCCTCAACCAGAGGGGGACCAGGCCCGTGCCCAGCATGGCACCTGTTTGAGCCGGAGAGGCCATGAGCACATGTGGCTAAGCTACAGCAGGGAGTCTGTGAGCCTCGATGGGAAAAACATTACACCTCTGTTTTCCCTCATCTCTGACTGGAATTGAGTATGCATTTCCCTCAATTATTAATACAGGCATCATACTTCTAGTACGAGCAGTTCTTGTGTCTTGTGACCAATGGAGCTCACAGTTGTCACACTTCCCTTATTGCAGATATCTCAAAATATCATTTATACTCGTTGCTACTTTAAAATCATGGTAGTTATTTCACCCGTGATTAAATAATCCTGTTCCATAATGCTTTATGAAGAAGCACATATATAATTGTAATAGCAACACTTAGAAAATAATTTATAGCTGTATTTCAATATAATGGTTTCCTCCTGATAATATCATGTATACTACGTTTCTGCATTTAGAAACATCATTCTGAGAAGAGGTCCATAGGCTTCACCGGACTGCCAAAGCAGGCGCAGCACAAAAAAGGTTAAGAACCCTGGGCTCTTGAGGAGAGAGAATCCTGGCCGCCAGGTCCCAGGGAAGCCAGGAAAGGTGAGAGCAGATGCAGATGACTAGGTTTGTTACAGAGAGGAGGAACACTTTCAACTCTGAGAGTGACAGGCAGGAGGTGTAAGGCCATGCACGTACAGAGCCGCGGAAACCTCATCATCAGTACAGAAGGTAGCTTTCCCTGCAGCCTGCTATAAGCCAGCTGTTGTGCAGTTTTATGCTAGATAATGAAGTGAGGGCAGAAGAGACGCAAGAGTCCCAGGGAGGGAAGAGAAGGTGGGACATCAGTGGGTGGAGTTCACTAAGGAGACCACGGACAATGCACAACCTCCCTTCCCCAGCCCCCAATCCATAACCGAGGCTGCCCGTTTCTCCCTCTAATGATCTGTCAAATCAATCTCTGTCTCTACCACCTGCACCAGCACACCAGTGTGTGTCATCTGGACTATGCAACAGATTCTCAGCTGGTTACATGTACCTCCAAGTGCCGCTTTAATGAGCTGTCTACAGCCAGAGGATCTTTTCAAACACATACTAGGTCATGGCACCCGTCTCCCCTCCTATTCCCACTGGAATAAGCCCTTTCCTCTACCGAGAATGCCCTTCCCTCTCTTCTCCACCTTTGAATGCCTACTCTTGCCCATGTTAACTTCCCCCCATTGTAATTTCACGTTTACTTGTGTGATTATTTGATTAATTTGGTCTCTCGTCATGGCGGCTACGTGAGATCTGGGCTGGATCCTGTCTGTCTTGTTCATTACTTTATCTCCAGCTCCTAGCCTTGTGACTAGCACTAAGCAGGTGCTCAAAGAAGTATTAATTGAGTGAAAGAATGCGTAAAAGAGTGGCTAAGCCATGGTGAGACCCATGGCCACAACACACCTCTTGAATCTCAAATAACTTGGTAAGTTGGCTCTGTGACGTTGCTCCTGCAGGGTGTGGAGATCCAAGACGGGACTGGAATGGATAAGCAGTGGTGCTTTCAGTTTGAGAATTTGAGAGAAAATAACAAAATAAAAGCTTGGCCAGAGAATGTAAAATTTTGCTGAGATTGCTGAGTATTCTAGAATGTGACTTGCAGAGAGAGTGCAACAGCTGGGAACAGTCTAATGAAAGAGACAGGAGGTGAAGTAGGAGGAACCAAATAATGAAAGTCCCCTCTGAGGAGTGAAAACAGGTGGGCTGGGGGAGGTGGGACCGAGAAAAAGTCATGGTTGAGGATGGTAATGCCAAGTTAGAAATATCAGATGGAGTAACCATGACCTCTACTGCAAGACGGCTCTTGACTTACAAAACTAGAATTTCAGGAGGACTAACTCAAAGGAAAGCAAATATGGAGGCTGAGGAAGGATAACCAGCTCCGCTCTTGTACTCCCAGGGAAAATAAAATGGGAAAAAATAAAAAAGACCAACATGACTGGCACATGCTATTAATATTCATAGAAAGAGAAATCTGATAATCCAATATCTGCCTTTTGGTATCATCGGCTTAACCGCAGATGGCAAAAATCAGTTCTTGCTCAACTTTGCAACTTCTGAACATATCAGAGGTTACCATGCAGCCTTGAAACTGCCAGGGCCTGTTCAGGGCTGTTTCTTTGCAGAAACAAATTATAGCTGGTTTAATGGATGGAGTTAGAATATGAATAATAATATTAATAATAGGAAATATTTATGTGTTTGCTACGTGCGAGGCCCACTTCCAAGTCCTTTATAAACACTGCAACTCCTTTAAACAAAATAATCTTCTGAGATGGGTACTATTTATGGATCGGGAAACCGAGTTGCAAAGATTTGCCAAATCCAGGCAATTTGTCTTCAGAGTCCAAGCCGATAAACACTGCATGAGAATCCTGATGGAACTACTGGTTCTCAAGTTCTGGATTTTGGAGACATTGCCCTACCATAGTGGGAGCTTAATAATTGTTTCATTCTCTTACTGTTTGCTTTGACTAAGTGATCGATTAGGAAAAAATTACACAGGGAATAGCATGTGGATAGTAAACCTTTCTTGTTAAGTAAACTTCATCACTTGTAGTTAGAGCAATGGACTGAGCAAGGTGGAGGGAAGCTATTTGAGGCTGACGTGGTAAGCTTTGAGGTAGCTAATTTGGTTAAGAGGATAGGCAGTGGAGCCAGAATGGCTGTGGTCACATTTAGGCTTTACCACTTAGTAGCTGTGTGACCTTGGGCAAATTATTTAACTGTTCTGTCCCACTGGTTCTCATCTGGAAACTAAAACAATGATAGCACCTACTTCATAGGCACCTTGGGAAGACTAAAGCAGTTTAGAATGGTGCCTACATAAAGTAGGTACTCAACTAATATTACCCATAAAACAAACAAATAAAAACACTGTACCTGGAGTCACGAGGATCGAATACTAGCTCTGACTGAGGAATAGGGAGAGAGATGGATTGACATGAGGTAAGGCAAATGCAGAGAAATGTGAATGGTAAAATGTAGGTAGTGAGTATATGGTGTTTACTGTACATTCTTTCAAAATAACATCTTAGAGATGGGAGGAAAAGAGACCCAAGAAAGACTTGCCATTTCTTGCCAATGACAATGTAATGGAGGATGTCATGCTTAGAGTGGTGAGTGAAAAGCATGAGAGTCACAGTGACACCAACCCAGAGTTCTGGTATCGTGGAGTTACTGTTATGGACTGAACTGTGTTCCCCCAAAATTCACAAGGTGAAGTCTAAACCCCAAAAGTGGATGTATTTGGAGATAGGGCCTTTAAGGAGGTAATTAATGCTAATGAGGTCATAAGAGAGGTGCCCTAATCCAGTCTGACTGGTGTCCTTATAAGAAGAGGCAATTTGGACACACAGAGAGAGACATGAGGTACTTGCACACACAGAAAAAAGGCTATGTGAGGACATAGGTGAGAAGGTGGCCATCTGCAAGCCCAGGAGAGTGGCCTCAGGAGAAACCAACCCTGCCAACACCTTGATCTTGTACTTCCAGCCTCTAGAACTGTGAGAAAATAAATTTCTGATGTTTAAGCTACTCACTCTGTGGTATTTTGCTATGATATCCCTAGCAGGCTAAGATAGTCACTGAATTAACCAACCTTGGAATTATCTACCTATTGCCTTCAGTGATAGAATAAATATTCTTATTGCTTTAAAAACAATCCTAGCTCTGCCTGCTAATTTGAATAAGTTATTTAACTTCTATAAGCCCTAGTTTCTTCATCTATAAAATGAATATAATAATTTCTATCTTCTAGAGTTAGTGTGAAGAGTAAATGAGAAGGCATATGAGAAAATGTTTGGCACAGTGGTCAAGAATTAGAATTTGACCAGTTCTCTTCAAAGCAGTGAATATATGTATCTCTCCTTACATTATTGTGTTGGCTTTTCCATTGGACTGGGTGAGGTAAGGTGAAAGGGTTGGATTGCTCATTGCTTTGTCCAATGAGGCCATGCTATGCTTCCTGAAGATGTCCAAGATGGCAGCAGTACACAACCAAGGGTTTGGTGCACCATATTGTTACCGTATCTTGGTGTTCAGACTCAGGGTCAATGTGTCTGGAGAGCACCAACCTCACCCCTTGGGCCCACCTCCCTCCTGAAGTGCTGCACTAACCAGCTTCCCCAGCCTGCAGCTGAGGTTGCTGCTCACCTCCCTGGCCCAAGCTAGAAAGGCAGTCCCACAACAGCACCCCAAACCACTGGGCAGCCACTTACCCACATCAGCTCCACTGAGTGCTTTTCCCAGTGGCCAGGGCCTCATGTCGATTCTCTTCCCATTAACAGCGAGCAACTGCACACAGCCTTGAAAGCCTCGGTTTGTCCCTGTTGCTCTGACCAACCAGTAAGCGCTGGGAGCCCCACCAAGATAGAGGGGCGTCCGGAAGGTAATTTTACTGTATTGGCCCTTTAAGAAAAATGAACACTCTCGGTAAACAAAATCAAAAGCCACAACAGATTTGGATGAGGGACATGGTTAAGATGTAGCTCACAGCCCTACGTCAGAGTTTTCTCCATCTGTATTTATGTTTAAGACATTGGCCTCCTGGAAAATTAAACCCGTGGTTACCATAGGGAACCCAGTGAGCTTCTCAGAGGGCTGTGCTTCCAGAAAGGATTGTTTTGGAATGCTGAGATGGGAAGGGAAGGGAAGTCAGAGCCAAGCCCAACCCAACAGGCAGTGAACCACGCAGGGAATCCAAAAAAAACTTTCTCTTTCCAGTCCTGACACCCATTGACTGTGTACTTTGGCCGAGTCATAGGGCTATTCTGTGCCTCAAAAGGTGATAATGCTAGTGTTGTGTGTACATGGGCTAGCGTTTACCCTTTCACTATCCTAGTGACCTTTATACTGTATCCTACAAGAAACACTGTGGGGGAGACATTGCCAAACAGATTGCAAAGATTTTTGAAATTTGCTTGTGGATATGACTTTTTCTTTTTTAAGTGTTATTACAGTGAGGCAGGGAAATTTCTACTCTTAGACCAAACCACAATCTGGATTGCAGGTTTTGAGGTTACGAAATTCAGAGCTGAACATTAGGTGGGACAAAATTAAGGCACCTTTGGTCCTTCTTTTTCTGTTACAGAAATGTCTCATTCATTTGGATTAAAGGGTATCCAAATGAAACACCCTATCCAAACGAAAGGGTGTTGAAAAAGGCGCACGCCAGAACTTAGAATGTCCAGTGTAAGCCACTGCGATGTCATCTTCATCCTTTAAACTTCTGTTACCAAAAGTGAAAAATCTAATCACCGTTTTATCTTTTCTAATGAACAGATAAGAATCATTTGTAAATAGTAGACTAAACATGAGCAAGGCAGCTTTATAGAGCTTGCAGTGGCTTTTAAGGATCGGTTGTTTTCCGGCCACTGAGCATGCTACTTTCATTAGATGAGTTAAATGCCCTCTTGGCTTATTTCATCAAAAGCCTCAAAATTCACTTCTTCTTGATCCCATCCTCATCCTTCCAGTCCTGTTCTCTGATCCAGGACCATAGTAGGGGGCCTTACAGACAACTCAATGCTTTTCTATAGCATTAAGTGCCTCCTGGTAGTGGGTGGCTCCTTTGAGGTACCCTTTACTACATCCCAGGCAATAGTCTTCAAACCTGGCCTTTACATTTCTCTGATGAGAGTTGCCTTCTGTTCCCTGGAGGCTGCTTTGCCTGCCTATGTAGAGAAATGAAAGTATCCTGGAATTTACATTCCCCCAGGAGAGCCCTTAACAGTTTGGGATAACCTCTGGGGTATAATTTATACTCCAGAGCTTCCCTATGGGACCAGGCAGAAGTCATACTCTGAGGAACTTTGCCTGAGACCTCACTCTTGATTTCTTCCTCTTCCTTGTCCATCTTCTCCTCTCTCTTAGCAGTTTCCCCTGGGAGCACTTTCTTAATACATCACTTGCACAGGACTGCTTATCTTAGGTCTGTTTCTGGGAAACCCCACTTAAGACAAAATCGTACCTCCCAAGACAGTTTATTAAACATTCCACATCTGTAGTCCTGCTTATACAACTTGCTTAGCAAACAGTACAGAGGCACCCTTTGCCCTGAGTATCCATAAAGTTATATCCTTCTTGAAATTAATTATTTTATTCATTAAAATCATAGAGTATTGGGATTAGAAAAATATATAAAAACTCTTATAATCCAACTTCCATTGGCTGTTGGATTCCTTGTACATTCCTATCAAAAAGTTTCAGTAAGTTACCTTTTATATACTTAACCCCCAAGGACAAAGAACCATCTCCTGAGATAGTCTGTTGCACCTCTGTCCTTTTGTACAATTAGGTGAAGCTAAAATTGGTCTCCCTTAGGCTCTCCCAATGCAGCTTCAGCCTTGGAGGTCCACAGAGTGAATCCTTCTTCCCCAAGACTCTCCCTTTGACTCTATGATGAGAAGCCACCGTTCATGCCTTCATCTTCTCTTCTCCAAAGTAAACATTGCTCCTTCGATCAATCATTAAAGGGATTTCAAGACATCTTTCTGTTTGTGTGACTGCCTGTTGAACATGCTCCAGTTTGTCTATGGCCTTCTTAGAATGTGATTACAGATCTGAAGATAATCCTCTCAGAGGATTAGAGTCACCAGTAGAGTCACTGGAAGGTGTTACATAGTCATCAGAATACAATAAGATCATCACTTCCTTTTTCTAGAAGCTGTGACTCTATCAACCCAGCCTCTAATTTCTTTAGCTTGTTGTTGTTACTATGCGACCCTGTTTGTTAACCTTTATTGTACCTCCTTGCTTCAAACTATTAGATGTTTTTGCATATGTTGCTTCTATTGTAGCTTCTCAATTCTGTCTTAAAGTTAATATTTTGGATCCAAGTTAGAAGTTTCTTTATCCCTATCAAATTTCATCATGTTGGGCCTACTGTTCTGGCATTTATGTGACTCTATAGTTCATTTACCTGTTTTATCCCTTTTCTAGCAATATGGGCATAAGCAATGTCCCTGGATTCACATGTACTATATTTGTATCCTTGTTTCTTTGGAACCATTAGGATACAAATTAATGAGATTTTTTACTATTTCTTTTTTTGTTTTTTTTTGGTGGGGGGATCGACACAGCATGGCCTTTTATTTAACACCTCCTGCCAGCAAGAGTAGTGAACGGCCCAGGCAGGGAGAAAGCTATACACATATACACAAAGGTTTCCTTGCTACATTTTTCCTCAGAGAATTTGGACACCTGCTTGTTTATAATTACAGGCTTGGTACCTGGCAGGTTGCTAATCTAAACTGTTTATTCTAAACATAGCCCTAAAATTTCCCAGAGCATAACAATATTTGAATACCTAGGTGATTTGCCAAGCAGCCCAACAGTTAAATTATTTTACTACTTCCCATAATCATGGCCCCCAAAAAGGCAGATGAACGGATTATTCCTGCATAGTGAACTAAGTGACCCTTTTGGGACTATTTTCTAAAGCCACAGGATTGCAACACCCTTGCCTTCAAGTCAGACTGTGTATTTGACACTAATAATGGGTTCTAGCCTTCCAACATGAGCCTTCCCCTGCCCCGGCTTTGAAGTCCTTGCAGAAAGCAAAGTCCCTTGACACAAGCCTACAGCACATACCTGTGCACCCACCAGCGATGACGCACACAAGTTCAATTCTTCTCCTCGGTAGATGCGGAATGGTCATGTGCCCTAAGAGCTCACCTGGGGTGGCAAGACCAGGCGGGAGCATAGCAAAGCTCAGTTGTGTGGGTTCACCATGAAAAATGGGGCTCACCACGCCTGCCCAGAGCTTGAATCTTGCTGACTGTGCCTCAGTGCTGCAGTGAGCTCCTCTGGGGATGCTTACAGCGGGTGCTGGGTGGGGCGGGCAGGGTGCGAGGCTTGTACTCACCTGGGAATGGCCGGTCACTGGGGTGCCATTGTTCAGCTGCAGCAGCCCGTTCTGCCCATCTCTATAGAGTGTAACCATGTGCCAGCCTCCCAGTTTGATTTTGGTCTCACTTATGATGATGGCAACCCCAGTTCCACAATTAAACCTGTGAGAAGGAAAGGAAGAGTTTTTGATCAACCAGCTCATTATGTTTTTGGACTCCATGGACCTCACTTCCACAGTAATGCTCCTTTCAGAGTCAATCTGTTCAGAGTTATGTTTATGACTGCTTAAGTCTTACACGGAAGAACTAGATAGATGCCTCTTCCCTGGGGCAATCTCAGTCTAAATATCTTCAATCTGCCCACAGGATCTTTCAATGCAGGGCCTTCTTTAACCTGATTTTCTCTGCAGCTTAGAAAAAGATGGGCAACTAAGGCCTTCCCTCTTCTTTTCAGAGATTGCCAGATGCTTAGTGTGGATTCAAGGGGCAGTGAATTAGACTCTGAGTCACTCTGCTTCCAGGGATTTCTCCGGGGACTTTCCCCAACTCTCAAATGATAGGCTCAGTGACATTAGCAACAGGTAAAAATCCAAGTCTTCACACTCTTTTTGGCAAGCTGGCCAACCCTGCCGTCTGTGTTCAGTTGTGCCCGATACAAGTGAGGTTTCCAGAGGAGGCTCCAGCTCAGGAGCAAGGTGTGGGATGGGGGAGGAGCACCCTCAGATGGATGCATTATTCTTGATTTTTCCCAACCTCCTTATGGCCCAGGATGGCTACTGGGCACTATGCCTGATAGGTAGAATTTCAGTCCTTTCTGGTCAATTTCCAAATAGCCACCACACCACTTCCACACGGATGCTGAGATTGCCAACGGGGAAGGAATCATGGTCGGCATTTTCCGTCTTAGGATTTGCACTATCTGCAGCCACTTCCCAGGCCCCTCTTTGTCTCGAAATCACCAATGGAGTGAGAAGTGGTCAAGGGGCATTGCAGGACAGGCTTACCTGGAGGGGAATATCAGGCTCACTCGGGAGGAGCTGCAGCGTTGGAGAGCTGCTACCAGCCAATAACCACCAGTGCTACTGAGTGTCTATCTGATTCTCCAAGTGCTAGAGCCCTAACCACTGGCCCAGATCCTGGTGGGGGACCCATTTTCTAGCCCAAGTGAGATGCTCAAAAGTGTTTTCCAACTTAACCAAAAGTATTCTATATGCTGAAATAATAAAAATAGTTAATAGATAATAATAATAAAAATAGATAATAATGTTTGATGCTCACTGAGTGTTTGCTCTGAGTCAGGCACTGCTCTAAGCACTTTTATGGGTTAACTCATTTAATCCTCACAATAGCCCTATGAGAAAATGTACACTTGGAGAGGTTGCGTCATTTGCTAAAGATTAGGCAGCCAGGGAATGGTGCCATCGGGATCTTGGCCAGTGCACTATGGAGAAGGACAGGCTGGTGTTCATTGGTTGGTCACAAATAGGTGCAGTGTACGTCTCCATGAGGGTGAGTAAAACACTCACCATTCCACAAAACTTTGTTCCCCAGAAGACTACACATAAGCTAAAAGTAGCTTCCAAAGTGTGTTGAAGTGTGTTGAAGGAGAAATGATCAGGGCAAAGGAGGCAAACCAGAGTCATCATATCTCTGGGGAAGGCGAGGATGAGGTCTAAGCCTCAGTGAGCTCTTAGGAAGTTGTAGGGTCCTCGCTGCCCTCCATGGCTGTCAGCTGTATTTGCCACAAGAAGACGAGCAGAAGACCCCAGCTTTCTTCCCATCATCCACTAGAGCTCCAGGGCAGAAAAGACTTTATCTCTGTGGCTCACCGCTGCATCCTCAGGATACAAAGCAGTGCCAGGTACACTGCGGGTGCTCAAGAAACACTGAATGTTGAATGAATGAATGGTTACCAGGTTCCAAAACTCAAGTTTCAAAGGTTACTATTCCTGTATTTGGTAAACTGGTCCAAGCTCATCTCACACACACGATTCCTTTGTCTCCTGGAATCCATCTTGTATATATTTTATTCACAATATAAAATGCAAATATAATGTAGGATAATATCAAAAGAAAAAAAAAAGCAAACCCATGGGACGGGGATTTTGGCAGGAGTTACCTGAACTGGAGGGAGCGTCGGATGAGAGCCAGGGACATGAAATCACCCCTCCCATGCTCGTTCTCCCCACAGTAGAGCAGTAAGCCATCCTCTGCCTCTGCCTGTTATTATACAAACAAAAGCCACATGAACAATGCGCACCTCTTCTTCCATAAAGTGCCATCTGGAAAAACTCATGAATATAAAACTTGAGCCATCTTATTTACAGGAGCAAGCACATGGGCTCAAACGTAATCCCAGGCACCCATCCCAGGTCATTTTCAATAAACACATGGCAGCAATAGAAACTGTGTGTGGAATGGCAGTGAGGTGAGAGGACAGTGGGCCATCTTTGACCTGCTCTTTACTTGGCTTTGTGGATCCACCTGCAGAGCCTCTGGCAAACCATATGTGTAGACACCATGGTCACAGAGAGGAGGTTGCTTGTGCTCATCAAATTCTATTCTCACCAAAGAGCATTTTTTTCTTTATTCTTTTTACCTCCCTTCCTCTGGGGAGGTACACACATTTGCTTCTTTCCTTCTATCTGGGGAACAGGAAACTGATAGCCATGCTGTCTTAGACTGTGACAAGTCCTCTCTGGGACACTCAATACGGTGGCCATGACTTCAAAGGGGACTTGTTTCCAGATCTCCATACCTTTTTGTGTCTTTGGAGATACCCAAAAGAATCATTTTAAGCTGAAGTCACTGATTAAATTCTCATCTGCAGTTGATTCAGATCAGAGAACCTTCATTGGGCCCTCACGATACACCAGGGTTACGTAGAGTACAATTTTCTATTTGTTCAGTTACAGCTATCACAATGAAGACAGACAAGTGGGCTCTCTTTAAAAGGGATTTTGGAATGGTGAGTGTATTATTTCTTCTGAAATCCTGGCCTGGGAGGAATTGCTATTATAAACAACATTACTGGGCCCCCAACATTATCCCTGGGAACCTCAGGCCACCCACTTCCACAGTTCAGTGACACACAAAACCCACCCCTCACTGGCACACTTCAAAGTGGTGAATGTGCCCATCATTCCTGCTATGCTGTGAGCTGGTTTAATGACAGGCTCTATGTCGTTTTCACCTTTGATCACTCTTCCTGCTTCCTCTCTTCTTCTCCCCCTCCCTTTGGACGGAGCACATTCCTGTGTTGAGGTGTCCAAAAAGTACTCATCAAACAACTAAGCCCTCTTACCCTAAATTCAAGAGTAATTTGAAATGCCTGATAGGAGTTCTTCAGAGGTTCAAAGGTTACATAGGAGTGGCCAAAGAACTGAGGATACTGTATAACAATATCTGAAAAGAAAAAAGACAACACAAAAGGATGCTATTTCCTCACTTCTTCAAAGGCAAAAATCAATATACATTGTTGCCTGGATATCGATAAGTGAAAACCCCGCTAATCTTTTCAATTTAACTTACTATCTTCTTTTCTCTACTTTTTACACCTACTAATCTCATTCTTGGGGGCTTTGAGCTTCTGAAGTTCTTAGGAAGAAACTGCAGTTTTGGGGATTGGTACTTGCTTTCCTAAAAAGAAATCAATGGCTGTAAGACCACAGTCCCCTGTGCTCAACTATACATTTGTGTAATATAAATTTGCCTAATTATTAGGCTTCTTAACCCTCTTCATGTGTATTGGCTGCACTTTTGGATAGAGATGTAATAACAGTAAAGGCCACCTCCCTAAGGTGCTGTCGGGATGATGTACAAAAGAACTACACAGTTGACACACATAAAAATAGGGCTTCTGTCTAATTAGAAGCAATGGAAGTTGCCTCACAATTTGCCTTGTATAGCTAGTTTAATGACCAATAATGGAAGAAGGGACTTATCTTAGGAAAAGGACTAGAAAGAACCATGTTTGGACCACAAAACAGCCCTCTGGCTCCCAGTGGCACCAGCCCACCACCATGCTCTTCCCCTCCCCTGAGGGCCTACCTTCTGAGCAGCTCTCGCCACCTTTGCCCAAGTTGCAATGGCATCGTGAGCCCCCCCAGGTGTAGTCATTGGCACAAAAGCTATCAGCAGAGCAGAGGGTTTCATCACAAGACATGTCAAAGAGCCTTGACATCATGGCCACACCGTCTTTCCCCTTCCTCTGTACAGGAGTGGGTTGGGGAGCTGCCGTAGTCATGGGGAGAGATGCTGAAGTTGGGGGGACAAGTCTGGAAAGGGTCTTCGGGTGAGATAGAGACGTCATCTTGGTTTCCACCAAAAGTTTTTTATTCCCTCCATTGGTAGCAGGAAGTGGTTTAACCTAAAGCCAGAGAAGGAAAAGGGTTCAGGATGAACATAGAGCATGCTAATTAGAGTGCTTTATTTGTGGTTGTTGCCTAATACTTGAAAACATGGTCACTGTTGATATTTTCAAAAACCCAGGGATGGATATGGGGAAGAGAGTACTAACCTCAGTTTATGGATAAAGAGCTTGAGGCCCAGAATTTTAAGTACCTTGCCCTGTGTGGTTCAGAAAATCAGTAGTAAAGCTGATATTATATGATTTATTCTTATCTTGATATTACAAAGATGCATTACTTTGCCAAGGAATTGTTCATTTCCTTATAATACCTGATTTTATAAAATTTCACTTGCTGGGAAATCTAAAAATGTTTTTGCCAGATTGTGAAGTCAGCAGGCAGGGGCTGTCCACAGCACTTCAGCATGGTTGCTACTTCCCTACCACTAATTTATGGTCACCTGGAGCCTAATAGTCAGAGGAAACAAATAAGCGCTAAAAGCAATGGGCCGATTTAAGTTTTAAGTAAAATGTTCACGGCCCATTGACTAAATTGCCTTGTTTGGCAAGAAAACAAAAACACCCTGGGTTTTAAGAGCAGAGATTATTGTTACCTCCTCAAAGGAAATATCCAAATCTAAGTCGTCTTCGAATCCATCATCATCCTCACCGACCCCCATGTCAGTGATGTAGTGGGGTCCATAGCGGCCACTTCCTGCTTCTTCGGTACCTTAACAGAGAAAAGCAGCACACTTTCCATCAGCATATGCCTTCGCTCCATTTTCCATCCTAACTCAGCCCTACAGAGAGCTGAAGGGATCAGCATGTATTGAAAACATATAAGAAATTCGACACAGAAGAGGAACCATCAATGAGCAAAAAATACAAAAAATAAAGTTTCCTCTCATAAGTAACCAAGGAAATGCCAACTGAAACAAGAAAGAGCTGCCGTTTCATACTGACAAGACTGGGAAAAATGTGGGTCAGGCAATAAAACAATAATACCAAGGATGGGCTCAATGGGGACTCTCATATGCCCACATTAGACGTGTCAACTGGTGCAACCGCTTTGCAAAACACTTGGAAATATTTAATAAAGTAGAAAGTGTTTATACCCAGCAATACCACTTGAAACTTAAAAAACCTAGAAAAACTCTTTCACATGTATACCAAGAGGCATTGCAAAATAGATTCAGAGCATCATAATTTGTAACAGTAAAAAATACACCAAACTTGCTATTTATAAGAACAAACATACCTTAAATGTCCATCAACAGAGAATGGACAAATGAAATAGTGTATCTATGGAATGGAGTCCCATATAGCAGGGAAAATGAATGAATGAGCACTTGATGCATCGACAAGGCTTAATCTCACATGATGTCATGCAAAAACATGCAAGTTGCAAAGCACATACAGTTTGATGATACCATTTATATAAAATTCAACAGCAAACAAAAATTTATATGTTATTTAGGGATACATGTGTATATAATTTAAACTCTTAGGAAAAGTAAGACAATTGTAATTACAAAAATACCCAAGGGAGAATAGAAGAGGGACATAAATGAGGTATGATTCAGAGGTATGAATCTCTGATTCAAAGGGGCCTTTGAGAGGACTCCATAATGTTCTATTTCTTAAGGTAAGTTCTGGGTACATGTAAGTGTTTGTATTATTTTTTACATATTACATATATACTTTTGATATATGAAGTATTGCATTAAAATTTCTTTACAACAAAAAAGGAGATTATAATGGAGCAAACATTCCCACATCCAGAAAAAAAGGGGCCCAAATGGTATCCTGGAGGGCATCCATTTCACCAGGACAACGGGATCTTTCAGAACTGGCAGGTGGACTGAGAAAAATTCTCGGAGGACGACACAGGGCACTGTCCTTTGGAGGATAGTCAGATTAGCATTTTATTCAGTTGTCATCCACAAAATCCCGTGATACACAACAGTCTGGTTCAGGTTCCACACAGGACGCACTCCACAAAGCGGTGGCAGCCCTTTGGAGAGCTGCTCCATGGTGCCCCGATTTCCTTGCAGCGGGTTTGGGCCACCACAGGTACCAAATAGCTGCCTTCTCTGCACTGCACAAGCCAGGCACCGGCCTTTAGGGCAGTGACAACTTCGGTAGCAGAAACTGACTTTGGTAGATTGCTGATGTCCTTTAGTTATTAGATGTCCACTGTTAGGACAACTCGTTAAAAAAAGAAAAAGAAAAAAGAAAAATGACAAAAAACATAAACTGAACTTGACATTCTGCTTTCAGAATAAGCTAAGCCAAATACCTTTCTCACAAAAACAAAATCACCTTCTTTGTCTTAGTTCATTTAGGCTGCTATAACAAAAATGCCACAAAGTGATGGCTTATAAACAATAAACGTATTTCTCACAGTTCTGAAGGCTGGAAATCCAAGATCAAAGTGTGGGCAGTATCTGGTGAGGGCCTACTTCTGCATGGATGGTGCTTTCTGGCTGCATCTCCACATGGTGACGGGCAAACACGCTCCTTCAGGTCTTTTTAATAAGGGCACTAATCCCATTCATAGAGCTCCAACCCCATGATCTAATCACCTCCCAAAGGCCCCACCTTGGGGGTTAGGATTTCAAACGTGAATTTTGGGGGAACATAAACATTCAGACCATGGCACTCCTCCAGGCAAAACTGCAGCCAGAGTGAAAATGGAGCTGAAGGAAACGGTGGAAAGTCATTTTTGTCAGGGGCATGCTCTTGACCAGAAGAGAGGGATGTGGTCAGGAGGCAGGTGGAATGAGCTATATTCTCAGCTGCTCAGGCACATCTTGGTGGAGGTGGGATAACGCAGGGGAGGTGGTGTTCTCACCCCTTCCACATCAATTCCCCACAGTATAAAATAGCCCACCTGTCAAAATTTAAGCATTTTGATGCCAGATTTATACCTAGATGCACGTTCTCCCAAGCCTGCATGCAGCACAGCTACGTGCCAGACATCTTCACACAAAAAGCCAAAAAGCCCTAGAGGACAGCTTCCACCTTTCGTCTGTCTTTATCTCTGTACAGTACTCCTCTTCATCTGCATTTTTGCTTTCTGCAGTTTCGGTTACCCTTAATCAACCATGGTCCAAAAATATTAAATGGGAAATTCCAGAAATAAACAATTCATAAGTTCTGAGTAGTGTGATGAAATCTTGTGCTGCCTGCTCTCGTCCTGCCTGGGAAGTGAATCATCCCTTTGCCCAGCGTGTCCATGCCGTGTGAGCTCCCTGCCCATCAGGCACTTAGCAGCTGTGTCAGGTATCAGATTGAATGTCGTGGTACGGCAGTGCCTGTGTTCAAGTCATCCTTATTTGACGTCCTCAGTGGCCCCAAAGTGCGAGAGTCGTGATACTGGCAATTTGGACACGCTAAAGAGAACCGTGTGGTGCTCCTTTTAAGTGAAAAGGTGAAAGTTCTCAATAAGGAAAGAAAAAAATTGTATGCTGAGGTTGCTAAAATCTATGGTAAGAACAAATCTTCTATTCATGAAATTGTGAAGAAGGAAAAAGACGTCTGTGCTAGTTTTGCTGTATATATAGGATTTGGTACTATCTGTGATCTCAGGCGTCAGTGGGGGGCTTGGAACATGCCCCCCGTGGATACGGAGGGACGACTGTATCTTTCTCTCTCTCTCCCTGCCTCTCTCTCTTTCTCTGGATCTCTCTCCTCCCTGTCCCTTCCCTCACCCTCCATTTCTATCTCTGTCTCTCTCATGTATTCAGAATTGCCGGATTTCAGAAGAATAAATCCATCTGGTAGTAAAAGAATCCTATAACACATGCATGAAGAAAGCTGGTTTTTATCTTCATAGATTGGTCTCTCTAACTGCAGGGTGTTCGCCCTTGCCCTGTGCAGCCGCTTGATGTTCTTGCACATCTTCTCATCAATGTTAAGATTTTTTCATCTTATGGTTCCCTATATGAAAAATCACCTTCAGTGTCTTCCCACTGCCTACAACATAAATTCTAGCCTCCTTGGTCAAAAATTCAAAGATCTCAATTAAAACAGCTCTTCTTTTTCCTCCTTCTCTCCCCCACCACCATTAGTTGTTGAAATCTACTGCCTCTTCCCTTCTTACCAAGTTCCTTTAGGTGCTTATCATCATATATTTCTAAACCTTACAATAATCCTGCAACCTAAGTATGATCAGTCTCATCAGATAAGTAAACTGAAGCCAAGGATTAAGTGATTTGCCTAAAATCAAAGACTTTGCCACTGGTCAAGCCTAACTCAAATTCAAGGTCTGTCTGGTGACCACTCTCCCACTCTGCTGTAAGAGAAGAAGCCACTGTGGAGGTAGAAAGAGCCTGGGATTTGAAAAAATTAACATATATTGATCATTTTTAGTGCTCCAGGATCTTTTCATTCATTGTTTCTATTAATCTTCACAAATACTATGAAATGGATGTTATTACTCCCATTTTACTAATGGAGATATAAACACAGGGAGATTAAATAACTTGCTCAAAGGCATGCAGAAAGTAAGTGGTAGGGCTAGAATTTATCCTTTGTCTCTCTTTTGACTACATCATGCCACTTAATCTGAATCCAAATTGTGTTTTCAGGTTCTCTTTAAAAGCCATATAATGGCTAAAGTGGTCTACCAGTTGTCTCCTGAATATAATGTATTTTCTTGTATCTTTTTGCCCCTAGACCTTGGTTAATGTTCCTCTCCACATGGCCATCTTTTCCCATCTCCTGTCTCCTTATACATAGCCTACCTACTCTTCCAGTTGGCGTGCAGTCTGTGGAGACAGAGCTAAATACGTACCACCAAAAAACCAAAATCAAGTGATATTTTATAAAGAGAACATCAGACTTCTCTGGGGAAAGAAATGGTGACTCCACAAAGTATGAAGCTACCAAGACCTGTAGGGCATTCCTTCATCTTCTCCTGGATGGGGCAACTAACCCATGGATATATGCCCCTAATCATGAGCTCAGAATAAGCTTCTATGGCTTGATGAAATCAATGTACATCTTCTGGACTCCTGGCCTTAGAACTCTGTCATGTGTTTACCAATTCAATTGTGAACCCCTTGAGGGCAGAAACCACAAGATTTCTTGATATCCTTCTCCTTCCTCCACTTAACTAACATTTCACATACTCACCAATGGCCAAGCAGAGGAGACACTCCCACAATGCTGCACTATGTCCTGTTGTGGCCCACTGGCCAGGCTTATTTCAGTGGGGGGAAATATCTGGAGAGAAATCCTTACATGATAGATCTCTGCCTTCAAATCCAAAGACATTCCCCCAAAATGCCACAAATCCTGTCCCTTTCCCCAACTCAAAACTAGAAGTCAGAGTTGAAAGAGACCTTAGACACCCCGTACAACCTTCTCATTTCATAAATGTGGAAACTGAGGCCACAGAAGAGAAGTGACCTAAAACCAAGTTCATGCATCTCATTAAAGGAATATCTGACTCTAGAACCAGATCATATGATCCCTAGTTCAATATGCATAATACTCAATCATACAGATTTCTTGGCATCAAGTATCTAACACTTCAGTAGAAGAACCTGGAACATGGAGATGCCACAAGGGGTTGGTGTGCAGGTAGCTGAGTTCTCTTACTGCTTCTTCACCTGCCCCAGGACATTCTACATCTTGAAGGCAACTCCTTGGAGAAAGGGACCACGAATGAATTGCTGCATCTATGAAATGATACCATGATGAGGACAGAAATGATTCCAGATTCTCCACTTGTTTGACAAGTAAAATAAGGCATATACTATTCAAGGGATAAAGTCCTTTGGTCTTTGCAAACATTGCTTCTGTTTTGATACTTCATATAACATATTTCTTTGAAACCCGAGGTCACTCAGTTTGGGGAAACAAAGGATATGAAATAAGAATGGGAAAAGAAATATGGAATTACAAGGACTTAGAGTCAAAGAAATTTTAACTTTTATAGAAAGACCTTAGAGATCAGCTAGCACGACCACTCCATCTTACAGAGGTGTAACGGGGGCTCAGAAAGTCCATGCAACTCGCCTAGAGAGGCTCATTAGTGGTAGAGTTGATCTGCAATTCTGGACTCTGGGTGCTGCACCCCAGGACCCTTTGCCGCAACCCAAACTCCTATCTCTCATAATAATCCAGGCTAATAGTCATTTCCCATTTTTAATAGGAAGGACACGAACACAAAGGACCAAGCACAGCATGATTCGAAGGACCTGGAATTAAAGCTCACTGCTCTTGTTTCCCGACGGCCCCGCCACCTCAGGTCTCAAATCCATAGTTCACATGAAGTTTTCACCAATGGTATTTCCAAGTGAGCACACAATGTACAGTCCAAGCCAGTGATAACAATTCTCCCAGTAGCCTGGGGTTATTGTAATTAAAGTGCATAACTTGTCTCTTTCTACTTGGCACTTTGTTAATTAGGAAAAGAGAACATTAAAAAGGAGACATTTATTAGAACCAGAATAATCAAGCCACTGGTTCCGGGGTTATTCCACTATAGGAAAAGTAATAAACAAAATACAAATTTTTGTTAATAGATAAAAGGGTGACTTTTATTTTGTAAAAACTTGTATTTTTTTTTTCAAAGATATCACAGGTTTTCTATAAATAGTGAGTTTCTCAGATGTATAAACACAATGTAGTTGGAAATATCTCTGGTCATGAAATCCAAATAATTGGGGGAGGGACACAAATGGCTTGTGTGACCTTGAGCAAGTCACTTAATCTCTCTGAGTCTTATGTTTTCCCATAAAATAAGAAATAGGATTAGATTTGATGACTGGTGATGTCCTTTCCAGCACTAACAATCTGTGACCCTAAAATTCACACTTTTGATTTAGACATATTGCAGGCATCCGTCACATCAAGCAAGGTTTGAAAAATAAACAACTGGAGAATTTTACTTATGTGTATGAAAAAGAAGTTAGTTCAACATGGAAGTAGCATGCTTTGGGGATTGCAACTTTGTGTTCGATATTACATTCTCCTAGAAGATGTGATCCGTCATCATTTATCAGAATCCATCTTCATTCAAAAGAACCAGGTCGTATTTTAAGTCCCTTTTCTTAACAATTCTTAGCAATGATGAGGGAGGAATGCTTGTTCCCCATTCCTGAAGTTGTAGTATCATGAGAAAAGAGTTTCCTGAAGCACCGTTGGATTCTTGTCCAAACTCTTTCCCTCCCTACAGAGATGGAGACACTGATTTATGCCCACATTTCTGAACTGAGGGAAGCTAATCTATCAAAAGACTTGGGGGAGGGAGGAGAAATTTGGGACCAATTTGATCCCTCTCATCTTCCCTCTACACCTGGACTATGAAAAGTAGTAACCCAGGCAGGTGTGACTCCTGTGCAAGCCCAAACTTTCCTTCAAGCGGGCTGTCCTAAAGTCTGGACTGGGCAGAAGGGGGTTTGCAAGCCCATTTTGGCTCTTAGAGTAAGCTGTGTCTTCTGACCCAGCCTTTACCAGAAATAAGGTTGGCATTTGAGTTATCTTCATCTTCATCCTTATCATCTTCATCTACTGTGTTATCTTGTTTCTCAACTGATTTCAAAAGTGGGCAAAGAGGAAAAGTGCTGTTAATTGGGTCTCCTCAAAATGCAAACACCCACCAGAATAAGGATGGTTGGAGGAAAAGGGTTCCCCAAGAGGCAACAAGTCACAGACAGAACCTGGGTCATCTCCTTCAGTGCAAATGTTAAAGAATTTGTTGGTTAGATGGAGTAATGACAGGTCAGACCTGTGACCTGAGTCCCTTCAAAGTCTCCCCAAGACTCTGTGTGATCAATAGGGTCAGTTAGAGCCTCATCTAGCACCAATTTATTTCTTCTCACCTTGTTCCAGCTGCATTGACTCTTTCAATTTTTTGGACACATCATTCTTTGTTCTGTCTCAGGGCCTTTGTACATGCTGTTTCCCATGCTTAGAAATCTTATCCCTCACTGCTCATTCTTTTGGCTTTTTAATTCTTTTATATTTCTGCTCAAAGTCACTGTCTTAGGGATGTCTTCTCTGTACCCCGGATAAGGTCAGTTTTCCTTCTTGAAATGTTCTCATATCTCTCTCCTCTTTAATGCCATTATGAGTGTGTACTCACATGTTTATTTGTGTGATGATTTCATAAATGTGATTCTCCCACACAGTGTGTAAAATCCTTGAGGAAACAAACTCCACCCATTTTGGTTCCCATGATACCACCAAACCTCACTCACTCCTGACATCTTCTAGGAACTTACAAAACATGGGAAATAGAAAGAGTGAACTTTTGGAATAGTTTAAGCATAATAAAAATAT